TTACGTAATACTTTATTTTTATTTTATTTTTTATTTGTTCTTCGTAGTAGTAGTTCTATATGTGTGTGTGTGTGTGTGTGTGTGTGTGTGTGTGTGTGTGTGTCACATCTTTATCCAGTCATCTGTTGATGGAAAATGCCATACTGTTTTGATCACCATAGCTTTGTTAATATACAGGTGACCATTGAAAAACACAGGTCTGGATTGCATTGGTCCATGTACATGGGTTTTTAGCACAGATATGTGTTGCAGCACTGCACAATCTGAGGACACTGCACTGTGGATATAGAGGAGGACCATCTGTAAAATTACATGCAAATTTTCCACCATGTTAGGGGTCAGTGCCCCTAACCCCATGTATTGTTCAAAGGTCACCTGTAGTTTGAAACCAGGAAGTGTGGTGCCTTCGCCCTTGTTCTTCTTTCTCAGGATTGTTTCATCTGGGGAGGGTAAAGCTCAGCGGCAGAGTACATGTGCACGAGATCCTGGGTTCAATCTCCAACATCTCCATTAAAATAAATAAATACACCTAATTACCACCCCACCAAAAAAATTGCTTTGGCTACTCAGGGTCTTTTGTGTTTCCTTGCAAATTTTAGGATTGTTTTTTCTGTTTATGTGAAAAATGCCATTGGAATTTTGATAAGAATTGCATGGACTCTATTGATTCCTTGGGTGGCATGGACATTTGAATGATATTTATTCTTCCAATCCATGTATTTGTTTCCTCCTTAGTGTCTTTTGTCACTGTTTCATGGTTTTCAGCATGCAGATCTTTCACTGCCTTGGTTAAATGTACCCCTGTCTATTCTAGCCTTTCTGATGCCGTTGTAAGTGGGTCATTTTCTCAATTTCTCTTTCTGAGAGGTCATTGCTATTGTATAGAGATGCAACTGACTTTTGTATATTGATTTTGTCTCCTGCAACTTTACTGAGTTCATTTATTACTGCTAACAACTTTTGTGGAGTCTTTAGGGTTTTCTATATGTACTTACCACCTCATCTGCAAGCAGAGACAACTTTACTTCTTTTCCAACAACAGTATTCTTTCAAAGGCACGGCCTGAATTCAAGGAAGGGACATGAGAGAAAAGGCGTGACCCTCTGCCCACAGTATAAGGCTAAAAAGATATACCCCTTCTCTGCAGTTTGCTGCTGGGTGCACCGAGTTTCAGGAGCATTTAAAAGAGAAGAGTTCATCAGTCATTCAAAGGCACGGGTTTTAAATGCAATTACTGTGTATAATTAGCTGTTTCATCTTCTGTGCCAGTGAATTTAGAATCTAATCTCTGATTGCACAAAACAGAATACTAAGCACTTACTCCATTGAAGGGAGGCTGTGGTTGTTTATTGGCGGATGGATAAAGTGGCCAAATACCTGATGGCCACTGTAGGTGACTGTCAGAGAGAAAAAGGAGGGAGCAAGGTGCCAGCTATTAGGAGATACTTAAGTACATTTAAACTCGTGTGGAAGACTCCATTCAGGTGTCTTCTTCTGAAGACCCCCCCGCCCCCGGCTCATGCCAGATGGAACCCATCGCCGCCTTCGCGGCCCACCTCGGCGCTCCGGTTGTCTCCATGTCTACTCTTCTTGCAGAGTTACAAGCTCCACAAGGGCAGGGACCATGGGGCTGGGCATTTCATAAATGAAAAATGGATGAGCTGCCAATTAAACTCAGCGAAGGCCAGACTTACAAATTAAGGAGTTTTATTTATTTAAATATATATTTTTTAATGTTTACCAAGCAACTATTTTATTCTGGGTGGGAGGTAATTAGGTTTATTTATTTGTTTTTTTTTAGTGAAGGTCCTGGGGATTGAACCCCAGACCTCATGCATGCTAAGCACGTGCTCCATCACTGAACTGTACACTCCCCATAGTAAGCAGTTTATTTAAATAGTTGTTTTGTATGTCCCTGAAGAAAGATAAATGAACCATTGAAATTATATTAACTTATCAGTCCTTTTCCAAGATAAATCTTCTGTTAAACCCAATGTTTTTCATGGGTTGGGTGGTGCCTTTCCAGCCCTATAGAGAGAGTCTTGTAATCACCATTGGAGAATTCAGAGCTGTATGTTTTTGTGACACAGCCTCGGTTTGTGGGCTGCCTGGGGGACACCTGTGTAGAGCAAAGATGTGTGAAGCCAGGGGATGAGTTCAGGGTTTCTGAAAAGAAATGCAGCCAAAACCCTCAAATTCAGGTAGATGACTTGATAACAATGTTTTAAAATATATGAATAAAAGTAAGCCATCAAGTTCAAGTGAGGCTTCACGTATGGACCTTAATTCTAGTTTTGGTTTATGGCATATGTATGTAGTTGTCTTTTTGATGGTTTGTTTGTTTTTTGCTTTTTAGTCTTTACTGGGAGATAAGCCTCCTGAAGACAAGTGTGTCTGTGTTTCAAAGCTACGTCCCCAGAAGCCTCAACAGTGCCTGTGTGGGAGGAATTGCTCATGCAACACTTCCTGAGTGACTGTTCCTATGTGTGGGAGCCACGGGGAGAGAAGTCTGCTATTCAAAAATCATGAGCTACTTTCTTGTTCTCTCCCCAAAATGTCAATGGATCAACCATGAAAAGAACATAGATACCATTGGTGTGAAAATGTTTATGGTTTTACTGTCATGATTTTTAGCCCTAAAAGAGTAAAAGAAACCCCCCAAACCTGGAACATTCCCCCTCAAAACATGTTCCGAGGGTTCCCAGGGGAAGCCGGACAGGAAGCACGGAGGTGCCTCTGAGCCCTGGGCAGCCCAGCTCATCCTGGGAGGCTGGCCAGGCTAGACAGAGGCCCAGGAGGTGAGGCTGGAGAGACACTGGGAGAGCACATGGAGAGAGGACATCAGGGCCCACCCCCTGGACCAGACGTGTCCTTCTGTGCGTGGACCGGATGTGCCATGCGTGTGCGCACGTGTGTGTATGTGTGTGTGCGGTCTGTGATCTCCTGTGCATCACTCCTGCTGTGGGAGTGAGGAGAACGGCAAAAACCAAACAAAACAAGCAGAAACCTCATTGCGGTTTCTGAGGACCAGGGTTTCCATAGGTGACACGAGAGGTTTGTAATTTCCATGTGAAGCTATTTGCCAAGTGACTCATTTCAAAGCTGGAGAGAGAAAGATGGGTTCAGATGGAAAGAGATGGAAAGAGATGAATCAGCCCTCTGTCCGTGGCCAGGATGGCCAGAGAGACGTCAGGGAACAAAGCAGAAGATGGTCCAGTTTCTCCTGGACCCAGCCTCTCAGCCACAGTCCCTTTGAGGGAAAGGACAGCTCTGGGTACGAGGTCAGTTTACCTGACGCTCCGTGTGCTGGGCCCAGATGTCGCCTCCGCAGTCAGCTCTCCGGACACTCAAGACTCCTGGGGAGCTGGAGCTGGTGGATCCGAGCAGCCACAGTCAGTGCGGACGCCGAGTCCTCCTGGCCTGATCACGCCCAGCAGTTGCTCACCGCGTGCGCACTCTGC